GAAATACACCTAGATGCTAAAGACCTTGGTGAAACCGGCCATTAAGGAGGGTAATGAAGCAACACTCCAAGATAAGGCAAAGGCCATGATATTCCTTCGCCATCACCTCCATGAAGACTCAAAAATGAATATTTAACTGTGAAAGACCCACAAATCCTTTGGAGTAATCTAAAGGAAAGGTATGACCACCAAAAAACAGTAATACTACCTAGAGCTCGTTATGATTGGTTGAATTTGAGATTGCAAGATTTTAAATCTGTTAGTGAATATAACTCAGCTATGTTTAAAATAAATTCTCAATTGAAATTATGTGGAGAAAATATTACTGATGCATAAATGCTTGAAAATACATACTCCACTTTCCGTGCTAATAATATTTTCATGCAGACACAGTATAGAGAAAAAATATTTCTAAAATATTTCAAATTAATATCTTGTCTTCTTGTGGTTGAACAAAATAACGAGTTGTTAATGAAAAATCATGAATCACGTCCTACTAGCTCTACTCCATTCCCTGAAGCGAATGTGACAACCCATAACTGAAAAGAAACTAAAAACAAAGTCCACTCCGGCAGTAGTGGTTGAGGTAGAAGTCGCGGTCATGGCCAATGGCGAGGCCGGGGTCGTGGACGTGGATATGGTAGAGGTCGTGGAGGTAATTTCACAAACTCACATTCCCACCAGAAGTGGGAACGTAGGGATGATAAAGAGAAAAGTGATACCAATATATGTTACCGTTGTGGAGGAAAAGACCATTGGTCTTGGGTTTGTAGAACTCTAAAGCATCTTGTTGAACTTTACCAAGAATCATTGAAGAAAGGAAAGAAAGTTGAGGCAAACCTTATTCTTGAAGATGGTGAAGGTGATATTGATTTTGGCAATGCAAATCATTTCAATGTTGTTGATTTCCTTACTTCCCCGGAAGGGAATAATTTTGATTTTGGCAGTACAACTCATTTAGAAGTTGCTGATTTCTTCACTGCCCCATAAGGGAATAGTTAAAATTATATTATTTTGTGTCAGCTTTAAGTATTAGACTTTATCTAGTTAATTATTTATGTTATTTTCTATGGTTATATTAAGGACTTTTGCTTTATGAATTTATGAACTATTTGGGTGTTTTTATTGATTTATTTATTTATCATCTTTATTTTTATGCTTAATATTTTTTACATGTATTTTATTTCATGAAGAACATGGATACTACTCAAATACAATTTGCTATGAATGGTGAAGGATTATGCCTTGCTAATAGTGCAACTACTCATACAATACTTAAAAATAAAAAATATTTCTCTCATTTGATGATGAAAAGGATTAATGTGAGTACCATATTGGGTAGTACAAATATCATTGAGGGCTCCGGAAGAGCCATTATAAAATTGCCTTGGGGAACTGAAATTAAAATAATTGATGCTTTATACTCCCCATTGTTTCAGAGAAATTTATTAAGTTTTAAGGATATTCGCAACAATGGTTATCATATTGAGACAATCAATGAAGAAAATAACGAATTCCTTCAAATCACAAATATAACTCAAGGCACAAAACATGTTTTAGAGAAACTCCCTACATTCTCCTGTGGTTTGTACTACACAAAAATCAATACTATTGAAACTCATGGTATAGTAAACCAGAAGTTTACTGATAATTTTGTTGTTTGGCATGACCGATTAGGCCATCCCAGTTCAATAATGATGCGAAAAATATTTACGAATTCATGTGGACATTCTTTGAAGAGCCAGCAGATTCTTCATAATAATTTTTCATGTGCTGCTTGCTCAGAAGGCAAGTTGATAATTCACCCATCACCAGCTAAAATTAATATTGAATCAATTAGTTTCTGGAACTTTTACAAGGAGATATTTGTGTGCCCATACATCCCCCATGTGGACCATTTATATATTTTATGGTTTTAATTGATGCATCAACTAGATGGTGACATGTGTCTTTGTTATCAACTCGTAACCTGGCGTTTGCGAGATTACTTGCCCAATTGATCAAGTTACGGGCATATTTTCCAGATACTCCCATTAAGATTATTCGGCTTGACAATGCTGGTGAATTTATATCTCAAGCTTTTAATGATTACTGCATGTCCGTTGGGATAAATGTTGAACATCCTGTAGCACATGTTCATACACAAAACGATATGGCAGAGTCATTAAATAAACATATTTAGTTAATTGCTAAACCATTGCTTATGAAATCCAATCTCCCAATTTCTTCTTGGGGACATGCTATATTACATGTAGCAGGACTAGCAGCACTAATTTGCATTAGGCCAACAAGTTATCACAAGTTCTCCCCATTACAATTGGTTTATGGTCAGGAACTAAATATTTCCCATCTAAGAATTTATGGATGTGCGGTTTATGTTCCAATATCTCCACCACACCGCTCTATGATGTCTCCTCAAAGGAGGTTGGGAATATATGTTGGGTTTGAATATATCCTCGTCAATAATTAAATATCTTGAGCCTACAACATGGGATTTATTTATGGCTCGTTTTGCAGATTGTCATTTTAACGAGTCACTTTTTCCAATATTAGGGGGAGAAAAAAAAGAGCTGGAAAAGGAAATTAATTGGAATGAATTATCATTATCCTATCTTGACCCTCGAACTAAAAAATGTGAACTGAAAGTTCAAAAGATAATTCATTTACAAAGTTTAGCAAATAAATTGCCAAACTCGTTTGCTGACCCAAAAGAGTGACCAAATCACATATTCCAGCTGTAAATGCTCCATTTAAAATAGATATCCCGAAAGGATAAAATAAATTTGCTAATGAGTCTAAACCACGTCAAAAACGTAGAAGACCAATAGGTTCCAAAGGTAAGAATCCTTGGAAATGAAAAGGAGCATTGTTGATGATGGTCAAATTGAAGAAACAATTTCCGTAGGATCTCCAGAAGAGAATTTAGACATGATACAGGAAGAAATTCAGGTACCTGATAATGAAGAAATTTCAACAAATTATATCATGTCTGGAATTACATGAAACCGAAATCAAATCGACATCGATGATGTTTATGCATGCAATGTAGCATTAGATGTTATGGATAATAATGAGGATCATGAACCAAAATCCATTGAAGAATGTAGACAAAGAAATGATTGGCCAAAATGGAAAGTAGCAATTGAAGCAGAATTAAAATCTCTTGGAAAAAGAGAAGTATTCGGACATGTAGTTTGTACACCTGTAAGTGTAAAGCCAGTGGGATATAAATGGGTTTTTGTGCGAAAGAGAAATGAAAAGGGTGAAGTTGTAAGATATAAGGCACGATTAGTTGCACAAGGATTCTCACAAAGACCCAATATTGATTATGAGGAGACCTACTCTCCTGTGGTGGATGCAACTACTTTTAGATTTCTGATTAGTCTGGAAATAAGAGAAGGACTTGACTTACGTTTGATGGACGTAGTCACAACTTATTTATATGGAAATAGACACCCATTTGTGTCTCCCCAAAACCAAACCTGGTGATGATTACCTTTCGCGTCGAATCATAATCGAATGAAGTGAAAGTGTGGAAAGTCTAGTGTGCGATTAGTTTTTAATTCTTTTCTTTCTCTCTATTTTTTAAAACCTACTTTAAGAGAATAGCCAATCCAGTCTGGTTTGGTCCATGGCAAGGGTCCAATTAAGGTGTAGTTGGGTCGGGTTTGAAAAGAGCTTTCCAACGATATATTATAAGCCCAATTCCGATGAATAATGAGGAAGTTATGGCCAAATTACTAAACTGGACCGGTTTGATATTTATGGGTGGCCTAATGATCTAGAGGAGGGCCTAATATTGATTTATCATTCCTAATGCAATTAGAATTGATTATAGTCTTCTAGATTCTTCTAGAAGGTTCTTTTCATTCCTAATTTAATTAGCATTGATAAATTGACTTTTGTTGACTTTTTTTAATCAGAATAAAAGAAGTGTTTTTAAGGAAAATACGATTTAGCCCTTCTATACGGCTAAATTTTATCAAATTAAGAAAACGTGTGGAAACTATTGTCTAGCGTCTGACGACAGGACCAGCGCCTGGCGCCAAGATTGGCGTCTGGCGCTAGCCCTAGCGTCTGTCGCCAATTTGTTTTATTCTCTTCGAAACTCTGATTCGTTTTTTTATCCATCCGGATGATTTTTTCTATAAATAGCCTCCTAAAACCTCCATTTTCAATCATAAAAAAATCATCAATTTTCATCAAAAAATCATCAATTTCCATCAAAAAATCATCAATTTCCATCAATTCTCTCTCACCAATTTTTTTCAAGATTCTCTTGATATTCTCTCTATCTCTCTCTTTTCTAAACTAGCTTTTGCATACAAAATTCTGCATTCACAAGATCTAGAAACACCTAGCCAAGTTCGAAGTTGCCTTTGCCCTAGACGTGAAAGGTTTTAATTTCTGAGGGTTTGGTCCCAAATCTCTCTTTTAATTATTTAATTTAATCTTTTGATTTTATTACTTTCCTTGAAGTTACTAACGCGTGTATTTTGTTATTAGAAAGAGGTACGAGGCATCCACGTAAGTGCTTTAATTGTTTGCATTGATATTATGATATATAAATCATGTCTAGGTTGTTATTATGATTCCTAGTATCATGTTAGGATGCTTGATGTTTTGAATGACAACAATGATTATTCCTAGTATTATGTTTAGGGAAAAGGTTATAATATCAAATATGCTTATTATAATTCCTGCGATGCTTCCTATTTTTCTTCCTAATAACATGTAAGTATCATGTTAGGATTAAAGCTTTGATTTTTATTGTTTAGTGACATGCTAGGGTTTGTTATTAATCTTGTTAGTATCATGCCTAGGACCTTTCAATTATTATGCTTTAACATGGTTATCATGATTATAATTATGATGATGATTTCACTACTACAAAAACAAGAATAAGAAACGCAAGATATAGAACGGTTAACTTAGATATGCGATCTCTAGGACTATATAGAACGCTTATCTTAGTTAACCGTTCTATTTGATTTATTTATTTTATTTTATTAAATTGTGATTTTATTATATAGAACACATATCTTAGTAAACCGTTCTATTTAATATATCCAAATTTTACACTTACAATATAAATCGCCCCTCCTAGTTAACCGCTTTATATGTTTAACATTATTTTTAAAAAAAATAAAAAGAAAAAGCTAATACCAAGAGGCCCAAAATTCTAACCTTAACTCCTTTTTCCTCTTAACATAGCCGTCATTCTCATTTCCTCTTTCCTCATCTCTCACGCACTTCCCTCCTCTAAAACCCTTACTCTTTTCTCTTCTCTCTTCAGTCGTCCTCAATGTCTGATCCTAAAAAACTCCGAGCTATCCAATTATCTTCCTCTCAGTCGTCTTATTCCTCTATATACAACTATCCTATTCGTCGTTGCATCTCTTTCTGTTTCAACCCCAACTCCAACTCCGATGCAGTACGGTGCGCGAAAGCTCGAACCATTGCAATTTCGGTTTTGCTCTGTTTATGGTCATTGTTGCGGGTTGAATAGAATTTTACATTATCGAGGTAGGTGGTAGTTGCAAATGGTGGCATTGAATTGATTTTGGTGGGTCGTGTGAGGTGGTTGGAGAAGTGCATTTATATTATTAATTTTAGATCTGTAACTCTTATCAGTTATCAATTCATTTTTATGTTATGATTTGGATTATAATTTCTGATTTTTCATCTTTCATTTCTGGGTGTTTAGTGCGGCTTCACTATTTGCGTGCACTATTGATAGAGGCGCTGTGGTGGTTGAGGTGGTGGAGACGTTGCGGTGGTCGAGGTTGGTGGAGGCGATGGTAGTGGCTCAAGTTGGGGGAAGCGCTGCAATTACGAACTAGTTACTAGTTAGCAGTTTAGCACACTAATAATTATTAAGTTAGCAGTAGAATTGTATCAAATGTACTCGACATGTAAATATTTGAATATTTTTTTTTTGAAAGATGTAAATATTTGAATATAAAGGATAATAAAAGTTCATTTTAATGTGATATTTAAGTTATACAATTTCAATTTGATGTAATTTATTAATTGATGGTGTTAATCAGCATATATGCGTGCAACCTGCAAAATTAATTATTAATTTTTTTTAAAAAAAATAAACAAAGAGAACGGTTATCTTAGATAACCGTTCTCTTTTATTCATTTTATATAAGCATATGAAATAGGAAAGAGAACAGTTATCTTTTGCATATAGAACGCCTCTTATACCTGTTCTCTTTTGTCTTGCATATAGAACGCCTCTGGTACCCATTCTGTAAGCTTTACACATCGCTTAGCAGAAGAACGCCTCTGAGGCGATCTATAAAGCCTATTCTAACAGTTCTCTAAGGCCTTTTTTGTAGTAGTGATTATTATTATGTTGCTTGATTTATTTATTGTTATTGTTTTATCACACCTTTTATGCATGTTTAAAGGGAATTTGTACTTGTAATCATGCTTAATAAGATAATTAATAATCTTGTTAGGGTTAATTTGATTATAATTCAAGTGATCGCCAATAATAGTTTTGTTTGTGCATTAATATTTAACCAACGTAGTTAAACAGGTTTAGGGTAAACCTATTGATTGCATGTTAGTCAGAAAGCGCACATGAATACGACCAGAATAAAGTAGAAGCCTATTGTTAGGGCAGGTTCAATCTCTTTTAGGTTGGATTTGTACCTTCATCCTCAAACTACCAGTCATGGTTCCAGACCTATTAGAGTTGACGATCTCCTGGATCGTTAAGGGGTGTAACCTTCACCTCGTGAGCGATTTACAAGTTCCTAAAACTTGTTGGCGACTCTTTTTCTCTATCTTCTTTCCCTTTGGACGCCACCGTACTTTAGTGTATGATCACAGTGGGGTTCAAGCTAGGGATAATGCTTGAAATATTCCCTACAATGGCCTACTAGATAATGACATTTACATGAAGCTCCCAAAAGGATTCAAGCTGCCAGAAGCAGCAAAATCTAGTTCTCAAGAACATTCTGTATTAAATTAAACAAATCTCTTAATGGATTGAAACAATCTGGGCGTATGTGGTATAACTGTCTAATTGAGTATTTGTTAAAAGAAGGTTATAGAAATGATCCTATCAGCCCATGTATTTTTATAAAGAAATTTGGATCAAGATTTGTTATAATTGCGGTGTATGTTGATGATTTGAAAATCATTGGAACTCCTAAAAAGATTTCAGTGACTGTCAATTATTTAAAGAAAGTGTTCAAAATGAAAGATCTTGGAAAGAAAATTTTTTGCTTGTGGTTACAAATAGAGCACCTAGAGAATGGAATCCTTGTGCATCAATCAACATACATATAAAAGGTTCTAAAAAGATTTTCTATGGATACAACACATCCATTGAGCAACCCTATGGTTGTAAGATCACTTGAAGAAGAGAAAGATCCATTCCAACCTCGGGAAAATGATGAAGAAATTCTTGGTCCTGAAGTACCATATCTTAGTGCAATTTGAGCACTAATGTACCTTGCAAGTCATACACGACCCGACATATCATTTTCAGTTAATTTATTAACAAGGTTTAGTTCACGTCCAACCCGGAGGCATTGGAATGAGATTAAACATTTACTTCGTTATCTTCAAGGTACGAAGGATATGGGTTTATTTTTCCCAAAGTTGTCCAAAGAAAATTTGATTGGTTTTGCAAATGCAGGTTATTTATCTGATCCTCGTAATGGTTTTGCAGATGCAGGTTATTTATCTGATCCTCGCAAACTGGATATGTGTTCACACATGAGGGTACTGCCATTTCTTGGCGTTCTATGAAAAAAACCATTGCAGCTACATCTTCCAATCATTCTGAAATTTTAGCAATTCACGAGGCTAGTCGTGAATGTGTATGGTTAAGGTCGGTTGTTCAACATATAAAAGAAGTTTGTGGTTTATCATCTGGGAAAGAGGCACCGACAACTTTATACGAGGATAATGCAGCTTGTATTGCTCAACTTAAGGAAGGATACATCAAAGGTGACAGAACAAATCACATCTTACCCAAATTTTTCTTCACTCATGATCTTCAGAATAATGGAGATATAAATGTTTTGCAGATTCGTTCAAGTGAGAATTTAGCAAACCTATTCACTAAGGCTCTTCCAACCGCAACCTTAAAAAAGTTAGTTTATCGTATTGGATTGCGTCGTCTCAAAGATCTTCGGTGATATAATAATGAGGGGGAGTAATTGCGCGCTGCACTCTTTTTTTCCTTATCCATGGTTTTTTCCCACTGGGTTTTTCCTGGAAAGGTTTTTAATGAGGCAGCATATAAGCGCATTAAATATCTCTTAGATAATGGGCTCAAGGGGGAGTGTTACAAATAATAATGTATGCCCATTATGGCTTGTAATTATCTCTTCTATGACTATCTTAAGTATGGTTTTAATAACATCCTTGTAACCCTCTATATGTCATTAGTTCACATTAACCTTCTCATGAATGGAAACTTTATTGCCCATATAGGTTACAATGTTTACATCATGTATATATATAGATGGATCATGAAATCGATGAATAGAGACAACACAATTACCTATCTACATCTCTCTCTAATATTTTCCCTTTCCCCTTATTTTATAATAAATTGCATGTTTATGTTCAATTTTTGTGGCATGATCATATCTTTTTACTAAATGTTCATTTTTTTTGTAAAATGTTCAATTTTTTTTTTACTAAATGTTCAAAAATATAGATGTGGTGCAACTATTTCTAGGTGCACCATGCACATAATACTAATTGTGTGCCAGTGGGCCATATTTTTTACATAAGCCACATAATAAATTGGTAAAAAAAATAATAAGTGGGCCAACATGCAAGTTAGCCTTTGGCCCGTTGTGTATTCGTGCCAAATTATAGAAATAAAGTCCATGCACAACTCAATACCTATGGTCCACCGACGAGACTCTCCTATCATGCCAAATTCATGAAAGGCTTGTGGAGGATCATGCCTAACAGACTAACGCAATCAATTTCCATATATATATGTGACCTACATGATGAGCAGATATAACAAAAAAAATTTAAAAACATCACATGAAATTTAATCCCTAAATCATATGATCTGAGATGGGAAGATACCATAAGCCTACCACCTTAATCACCTAACGCAAGAAGCGACATCAGTATACCACACCTCTGTCACCTTAACCACTTTTTATGTATTATAATACTTACTAAATTTCTCTTACATATAAATATTACAACACATGGTATATTGAAAAATAAAAATGCTTTTATACTAAAAGATGAAATCAAATTCTTGGAGTGATTAATGGGATTAATAAACTAGAACACGGCTCCCTATTTCGGTCACTCAAATAATCAAATTTCTAACACTCCAAAAATTCTCCCTTAGATAAAATACTAAGTTTGGTGTGTGTGATCATAAAAAGGAGAATCAAGAGGATATTATTGTCATATCTAACTAATTGAATATTAAGGCATTTATTAAAGTACGACAACGAAAGACTCTACTTTAAAATAAAACTTATTTAAAAACCAGTTAAGTCAAACTTACAAACGAGAATCATTAAAGGTTAAAATATTCAAAAATAATAATCCTTCATACATTGTTATAGACTTCATTCATAGAAATAAACAAGAAACTCTCTACTCTCAAGCAATTCCCCGTGCATTCCCTTAGCATACCTCAACTTGAATCACTTGAAATTAAACACTTTATGCTTCCCATAATCACAAGTGTGAATATGAAGCATCACGGTGCCATCGAAAAAAAAGACATGGCAAAACAAATAACATAATAAGTCGGCGAATGTTTAGTATGTACACTAAGTAAAAGAACTTAATGGAATTATTTAAAAATCATAAATTAACTCCAAGTTAGGCTCACTAAACAACTTCATTAATTAAAACCCTTAAAATAAAGTTAACTTATTATAGAAATAAATAAAGTCGATGATTAGAAATACTACTAGTCTAATCTATATCTATACTTCTATACTTAGTATTTAAAAACACAAACCATAATTTTTCATATGACACGTGTCATTACAAGTCACTCACTACCACATATGACACATGTCACCCCTTTTGATCTTTTTGTTTAAGTCTTTATACATTCTATAACTTGCAAATTCAATTAAGAAAATGAAGTGTTTCATTTCCATCATAATAAAATAAAGTTGAACCAATTAATATACATCACATAAACATATGAATTGAATTATATAAAATTGTCTTTTCAACTAATAGACTTAAAATATAACTTAAACCAATATGTCATTTCATATCCTACAATCTTCATGTATATATACGTATCTAAATTCCTTTATCTTTTTCCACAGTTCTATCCTCATTCTTTTTTTCCTTTTAAGTTTTAGCAATGAAACAATTACTTCGTATTTCATATCAAAAGTTTCAACTATTGAAAAACATACCTACATATGAAATAACCTAGATAAGAACCCGTGTATCGAACGGGCCAAAAGGCTAGTTCATTTTGAAACGAGAACCTTATTAATTACTACACTTGTTGATTAAAAATCATTTAGACATGGTAGCACATCATTCAATAGTCAATAACATAATAATACTTTAATCAACTTGACTTAACTCACTTTAATTCTTCACTTTAAACTTTAGTCTTTACTTTACTTAATTAGGTACATGAACGGGAATCATAAGAAGTTGTGACAATACGTATAATTGCATTATCCTCCGTAGGGCTGAGCAAAACTACCCGAAAATCCGAAAAATCGATCCGTAACCGTTCCGAAAATTAGGGTACCCGTTCCGATAATTTGTTATCGGGTATGATTATGGGTATCATTTTAAAATTAACGGTTACCCGATCCGATTTTATAAGCATTTTTTTTTTGCTTTTTTTCCCTACTTAAATCTATTAATATAAATCTAAACTTTTACTTTACTTCATAATCACTTTATAATATCAATGATTAGTAATATTATTAATAATTTGATCAAGATCATATGGTATTGTTTTTAATTAGTTGTAAATTATATCATAATAACTACATAATTAAGTTTAATTATCATTATTGGATATCTTAGTTGTAAACCAAAACCAGCAAAACCAAAACCACCCACACCCGAAACCTTAATTCTCACGTAAATCGAAAGCCCCCTTACTCAGATGTGATTAGGATCGACTATTCGAGCCTTGATGTCCAACCTCTAATGGTATGCTATTGTATAAGGATATATGAGGTGGAGCCAATCTTTGAAATCAAATAAGGGGTTTTAGTTTGAGTGGCGTGGGTGGATGCTTCAGGGGAGGGGGGATCTGGGCGGCTGGGAAGGGTAGGCGATGGGGGTCGAGCTAGTAGGATAGGCGGCGGGGAGGGTGGTTGAGCTGGTGGGGTGGTTTTTCTTTAATTAATTAATTACTATTTTTTTTTCTTAAAAATTTTTAAATTTTTTTATATTATTTGTTTTTATTTTTTTGTCCACTCGTGTCTTGACACGTGTCAATTAACGTATTACGGAGCATAACAAGTTAGTTTGATGACCTGCTAGGACCATTAGAAGCAAATTCATATCAAAGTTCAGATTATTAAAAAATAATTCTAAGTTGGGATTATTGTTGTCAATTTTTCCTACATATAATTAATTCTAACATGTTTTCTAACTTGTATAAAATTCATACATCTAATCATACTTCTTATATTAGGTACTACACAAAAATAATCTAGGCGTCTCATGGACCCTATATGCTTTACACAAATATAAATTCCCAGGCCTAACATGATACTACTTGAGATAAAATAAATCTACTTAACATGATACAACCTATAGCGTGAATCCATTAACAAGCACAAGCACTAAAAACACGTCTTCTACGAACTCCTCTCCTAAAAAAAATATAAGAAAACCATAATCATATCAATACTATTAACCAATAATTACATAATCTAAAATAAATTTTCAGCTTTATAAACAAATTGAAATTTCTTTTTATACAGCTTTAAGCCCTTTTAAAAATCAAACTAATAAACCAATTTAATACTACTTTCATACTCTTTTAAAACCCTTTAAATTCAATAATAGATATTAATTAATCTCTATGAATTTAAATATGAAAATTAACATAAAAACCCTTGAAATTAAATGATTAAAATCTGAAATTAATTAGAAAAGAAGAAAGAAAATAAAAGAATTTATTTAAAAAAATGGTTGAAAACCCTCGCACCACCATCACGATGGCGGTTGTCGGTTGGCGCCTGTGTTGGTTGCACTGTGTGGCTGGTGGAGGGACGTGGTGGTGGGGGTGACCGGTGCTCATGGCCGACTGCCTTCATCCCCTCTTCTCTTTATTTTTAATTGTTTCACTAAAAACTCAAAATTGTAAGAGCAACTTCAATGGTTGTAGCTAGGGACTTGCTTGCAATTTCAATACTAGCTACTAGCTAGACCATTGGAGCTTAAAAACACAATTAGCTTGACTAAGCAAATTAGCTTGAATTAGCTTTGCCAAGCTAATTTGCTTGAGAATAAAACTTGCCAAAATAAAATGGTCATTCCACCAATTAAGCTTTTCCCATGTAGTTTGTATCTAACAACTACTACTTATTTGGTAAATATATTTTACAACAGCTACTTTCTATTTGCTACCAAATTTTTACAACGGCTAGTTTTTTTCAAAAACAAAGTACCATTATTTAATTTGAAACTCATTGTACTTGCTTCTCCATACTCTGAAATATATAGAATTCTTGCACTATCAAATTTTCATATGGATAGTTTTGAAGACCCGTATTACTATGATTATTCATAATAGTGTTTTAATTCTGAAAATCAAAACTCTCATGCTTCAACTCCAAAATTCTCACATCCTCAACCCTCTTCAATTCGACTGGTTCTTCATCAACCTTCTGAGAATTACTATAGTCCTATGACTCCATATCCACCAAAGACCATATTTCCAAAAATATCATCCTCGCATAGTTTGGCCAGATTATCGTCCAACTCATCCGGGATTTTTTAACATGTCCTCCAATCATTCATGAACAAGATTTGGCTCATGACAACACAACAAGAGATGTCATAGGAGACCTAAGAACCAACAAAGAGTTTCCTATTATTAGGCTGGATGATGAAGAGTATCCAATTACAAGGTTAGGTGACGAATCCCAAACTCCTCTTAGTCAATCTTACAATGACGAGAAAACCAATCAAGCTAATGACAAAACTGTTAAGTTGAAATGGAGCCAAATTAAAGATGTTGGTTTGTGCAAGAGTTGGATAACCATTTCAAAGGATCCAATCAAAGGCAACGATCAAACTAAGGAATTGTATTGGCGAAACATAGCTGAATACTATAATACATGGAAAGAAATTGTCCAACCATTGGTTCAAAATAAGTGCCGATGTTAGTAAGTTTAATGGTGCTACATACAAGTAAAAGAAAGCTAGCCAAGTGGGAACAATGAAGTATACATCATTAATAAGGCAAAAATTTTGTTTTCTGAACGTAATGAGGGAAGAAAGTTTTCCTACCTACGACATGCTTGGGAAGTCCTACACATTGATCCGAAATGGCAAGTATTTTCAACAAAACAAAGCAATTCATTAAAGAGAACAAAATTTATCAAGGTCGGGTACATATACCTCTAACCATGATACTAGTGAAAAGATGATGTGCAACTGTTAGATGAACGTCCAATTGGTCAGAAGGCGGTGAAAACTGTGGCAAGGAAGAAGGGGAGTAAGAAGACAAGTTCTGAAATTGTTGAGGATAAGTGGAATCAATAAGATTTAGCTACAAAAAGACTTACATTGATGCAAGAACATGTTCGTCAAATTGATTTTGAGGTACTACTCAAGGATACTTCGACTATGGATGAAGGCACAAGGAAAAATCACGACCAAATATGCATGACAATTAAGACAGAGTATGGAATAGAGTAATGCTGTTATGTCTACATTATTACTATAAGTAGATTATATGCATGTCAACTTGTTTCTAGAATGTTTTTTATCTAAATAAATTGTGATCAACAAAAAATAATGCCAAACTACTTTTTATAATTAAGTTATCTAGTCTACAAAGTTGAATGCTCAAGTGCATTACTGCGTTTAAAAAAAAATAAAAAAAAATAAAACAAACAAACAAATTAGCCATTACACAACTTGTTAAAGTATTGATCAAGTTTATTCTCTAGTGTAATACTAGACTACTAGTGTCTAAAAAACTAGCCGTTAAAAACTAAACTAGCTTGACAATTGATGTGATCACAAATATATTTATCTCTATATATAGAACTCCACAGCAAAGGTAAATCTCAACTATCAATATTATTTGAATTTTCAAGTGTAGTACTAGTGTCTAAAAAAACTAGCTGTTAAAAATTAAACTAGCTAGTTGATAAAATATTACTCAAATATATTATTGTAGACACCCATTTGTATCTCCCCAAAACCAAACCCAGTGATGAGTACCTTTCACGTCGAATCATAATCGAATGAAACGAAAGTGTGGAAAGTCTAGTGTTGCGGAAAGTTTTAATTTCTTTTCTCTTCTTTCTGTTTTTGAAAACTTTATTTTAAGAAAACAGACAATCCAGTTTGGTTGGTTCATGATATGGGTCCAATAGTAGTGTAGTTGGATGAGGCTCGCAAAGACCTTTCCAACGATATATTATAAGCCCAATTCCGATGAATATTGAGGAAGTTATGGCCAATTTACTAAACTGGGCCCGGTTTGAGCTTTATGTACGGCCCAATGATCTAGGGGAGGGCCTAATATGATTTATCATTCCTAATGCAATTAGGAATAGTTTTAGTCTTCTAGATTCTTCTAGAAGGTTCTTTTCATTCCTAATTCAATTAGTATTGATAAATTAAATTTTGTTGACTTTTCAGAGTTTTAATCAAAATCAAATAGCATTTTCGAAGAAATTATATTATTTTATCCTCCAGTACGGTAAACTTATCGGATCTTTGAAAACGCGTTGGTATTAGGCTTGGCGCCTAACCCCAGGCCTTGGCGCCTGAAACCAGGCCTGGCGCCTGGCGCTAGCCATTGGCGCCTGGCGCTAATGTTGGTGCCTGGCGCCAGCTAGCCAGGGTTGGCTCCAGCTCTGTTTTCTGAGCGTCAGACTCTGTTTTGTCTAATTTATCTTTTTGGCTGATTTTCTCTATAAATATCGTATTAAAAACTCCGTTTTCAGGGACCAATCATCTTCATTCATTCATCATCTTCATTCATTCACCAATTGTTTTCATTCATCAATTCTCATCATTCTCATGATCTATAATCTGTTTTAATTAGCATTCATTCAATTCTTTCTCCAAACTTTGCTTTTTTACATACAAAATTCCGCATTCACAAGATCTAGAAACACCTAGCCATATTCTAAGTTGCCTTCGCCCTAGACGTGAAAGGTTTTAATTTCTGAGGGTTTGGTCCCAAATCTCTCTTTCAATTATTTAATTTAATTGTTTGGTTATTATTTTCCTTGAAGTTACTAACGCGTGTATTTTGTTATTAGAAAGAGGTACGAGACATCAAAGTAAGTACTTTATGGTTTTTATTGATATTATGATGTAGAAATCATGTTTATATTGTTATTATGATATTCCTAGTATCATTTCTAGGGTATTTTTAATATTAAGTATGATTGTTACATTACTTCCTATGTTCTTCCTAATATTTATGATTGTTAGTATCTTGTTAGGGCTAAAGATTTGATTTTTATTGCTTAGTGACATGCTAGGGTTTGTTATTAATCTTGTTAGTATCATGCCTAGGATCTTGCTATTATTATTATGCTTTAATATTAACATGAGCATGATTATGATTATAATTATTATAATTTATGATGATTATGAATATTATTATTATTATTATTTTGATGATGATTATTTTATTTATGATTATTATTGTTATGATTATAATTTTATTATTCATGATATTTATGATTATTATTATGTTGCTTGATGATTATTTTATTTTTGTTGCTTGATCACCTTTATGCATGTTAAGGGAATTTGGTACTTGTAATCACGCTTGATAAGATAATTAATAATCTTGTTTAGGGTTAATATGATTATGATTCAAGTTATCGCCAATAATAGATTTATTTGTGCATTAAATTCAACCAACATAGATTAAACAGGTTTAGGGTTAATCCTATTGATTGCATTTTAATTAGAAAGCGCACATGAATACGATCAGAATAAAGTAGAGGCCTATTATTAGGGCAGGTTCAATCTCTTTTAGGTTGGATTTGTACCTTCATCCCCGAACCCTTATTTGGTTCTAGACCTTATGGAGTTGACGATCTCTTGGATCGTTAAGGGGTGTAACCTTCACCTCGTGAACGGTTTACAAGTTCCTAAAAAACTTGTTGGCGACTCTTTTGCTCTATCTTCTTCCCTTTTGGACGCCACCATACTTTAGTGTATGATCACAGTGGGGTTCAAGCTAGTGGGATTTTAAAGGCTTGAAATTATTCCCTTACAATTATATATATACATAAAGCTCCACAACAATGGTAACTCACAAACCATCAATATTATTTATTTTTTGTCCAAATTGAAACTCACATTCTCTATACAACGAAAAAAAAATGTCAGATGATCCAAATTCATCAAATAACATTGATTATATTGGAAGCAATTTTGGACTGATCAATTTCTTGATGAGTCATTTGAAGAAATGGGGCATTTCATACTCGAAAATCATCCAAGAACAATTGTGCCTCGAGATCGGGAAGGTGGTACTGAACATCTTTATCAAAATTACTTCTCCCCCAAACCTGTGTATCCAGAACACATATTTCTAAGACGGTTCCAGATGAGAAGGGAATTGTTCATCCATAGTGTGGAGGAACTTGGAAAAAATTCTGAATATTTCCAACAAAGAGTTGACACTGCAAAAATATTGGTGTTGTCTCCCTTTCAAAAATGCACTGCTGCTATTCGCATCTTGGCATATGGCAGTCCAGCTGATGCTGTTAACGAATACATTAAAATAGGTGAGAGTACTGCCTTAGAGTGTTTATTTAAATTTTGTCGTGCTATTATAGACGTGTTTGGAGATGTGTACATGAGAAAGCCTACTTACAATGATGTCCAATGACTACTTGAAATGCACGAAAAATATCATGGTTTTCCTGGCATGCTTGGAAGCCTTGATTGCATGCATTAGGGATGGAAAATTATCTTGCTGCATGGAAAGGGAAATATGCTAGAGGTGATTATGGGTAACCAACAATCATGCTTGAAGCAGTCACCTCAATAGATCTATGGATATGACATGCATATTCGGAGTTGCTGGGTCAAGCAACGACATCAATGTATTGAGTAGATCAAATTTGTTTCAAGAAAAGTTGCAAGGAAAAGCTCCAGAGTTTCATTTCACTGTCAATCAAACCAATTATGATATGGGGTACTATCTTACCGATGGTATATATCCAGAGTGGGCTGCATTTGTCAAGACCTTTACACAACCTCAAGACCCTAAAAGGCTTCTATTCAAGCAAAGACATGAGAGTGCAAGAAAAGATGTTAAACGAGCATTTGGAGTACTTCAAGCTCGCTTTGCAATAGTTCGTGGAGCAGCACGTTGTTGGCATAAAAGTAGACTCTACGACATAATGGATGCATGTATTATATTGAATAACATGATTGTTGAAGATGAACACCACACATACTCCAAAAACTTTGATCAAGGTGATTTTTCACCAACAACTGTCGAAGATGTTCATCATGGGCATGCATTGGATTTTCAAGCACTTCTTGAAACAGATGTAGCCATTCTAGATAGACAAATGCATAATCAACTAGAGGCGGGTCTAGTGGAGCATATTTGGAGTCGTTTTGGAGGCCTAGACCTTAATTAATCTCCCTAAAATTTATGTTTTGATCAACTTTTTTTTTTAATCCTAAATGTTAGTATATTCTCCATATTCTGTAACCATAAACTAGTCATTCTCTATTTGTTCTACATTTCATTACTATGTATTTATAAAATAAGAACATCAACATTAAAAAGATTACTCCAAATGCTCAACATAGATTAACGTTAAAAAATAAGTATAATATAAGAATGGTCAGATCAACATTTATAAAAGAATAATCAACGTTAAAAAAATAGAATAAATGAATTATAAAAATGTTAATTAAGGAAGTGGGACTCACTTAAATACTAAGCTAATAGCTAGCCATTGGAGCAAAAAGTAGCTAAAATGATAATTAGCTTAAAAGCTTATGTGGCATAGCTTGCCCTTGGAGTTGCTTTAAAATGCTTACTTGATTTAAAAATTCAACCAAAATTTGAAAATTCATGACTAAATGAGTTTATATAGCTCTCATATTCAATCATACTTGCCATAATATCCCTTGACTTGCTTCACAAGCTTATTTAGCTGTCATAAAATGAAAACATGCTTAAGACAAAGCTTTTGCAAGAATAAATTATTTAAGAATTTTGAAAAGATGCTCTAACATAAAATAATTTTCTTTGACTTTCAAATCTTTCTAGAATATTCACTAAACTAGTTTTTGGCCTCGTACAATGCAAAGATTTAGAAAGTAAGAATTATTATTAATAATAGTAAATTTAAATTGAGTTAATTGAAATTATTTGACTTATATATGTAACAATTTTTTTTTTCAAATTTGAATTTATTAATGTATATCCTTTAAAATCATTGTGTTACGTATATAATATATAGTATATAATACAAAAATTTTAATTCTTTAATAGAATAATTTGTTTAAGAAATCAAATAAATAGCATTTTAGAGGGAAAATTTTTCACAAAATTATGTCAAATGTCCCTTTTGGTGATTACTTTAGTATATAGTACTAGTTTTGGCCTCGTGCAATGCACGTTTTATAAAATAAGATTTATTAATAATAGTCAAACTGAAATAAAATAAGTTATGTAACACTTTTGTTTTATTGTTTTTTTTTTCTTGAAATTTAAATTCATTAATGTCTATCCTTTAAATTCTTATGTGTTAAAAATATATAAAAATAAATTTATCAAAAGAATTTTAATTTATAATAGATTTTAAAAAAAATATAGTATTTTGGAGGGAAAATCTTTCACAAAAATATACCAAGTGTCCCTCCGGTGATTATTTTAGTATATAGTATAGATAGATGAGATGATCATCTTATTTTCCTAATATTTGGTGAATATTTTAGAATATTCTTGCATAATAAAATCTATGTTATAAAATAAATTCAAATACTTACTTTAAAATATAATAATAAATAGAAAAATTTGGAAAAATAATCTCAACTTTCACGTATTCGCTTTAAATAATCCCAACTTTGGATTATTATTAATTAATCTAAACTTTGAAGTGTATTTGGTCAAAATGGTCCTAAGTGACTGGTAACCTGTTAAAGAGGTGAAATTTTTTTGGTTTAACTAACCGATGGCACCATATGATTAGTTTAAATTTTAAAAAGTAGTAAAAAAAAAAAAGATAAACTTTAAAAAAGGTAAACCAAGCTAACGCGACCCCAACCACCACCCATTTCCAGCAACGCCCATCCCAACCTGATCCCTGGCCGCCACCTTGTGCCCAGACCCCCTCCCCACGCCGTCACTACCCTTCCTTAAGGTCGGTGACCCTTCCCTTAAAACCACCAAACTACCCTAAATTTCTAAAAACAACCTTCCCGCCGAGTAAAACCCCCAACTATCCCTTCCTCCACCATCAAAACCCTAGCGCTAGGGTTCTGATGGTGGGGGAGGGGCGGCTGGGGATTTTTATGCAATGAGGGAGGTGATTTAGGGATTTTGGGTGGTAGTGGGTGGGATTTTAGGGGTTTTCGGTGGGAGGGGTTAGTGTGTAATCCCCCATATTTTTAAATATTTTATAAATGAAAATTTAATTTTATTTGTAATATTGATGTGTATTTTTCCATAATTTATTTCAAAATATTCAAATTATTAATTTGGGTCGAAAATTATTTTGGTACAAATTATTTTATGAACCATCATTCTACAATTTATGTCCAAACAAACAAAGCCTAGTCCATTTTATTTCTTAATTGGCCATTATTTCTATGAGGCTCAATCTTACTTACCCTACAACATTTTCTCCTATAAATGCCCCATTAATCCCCAAAATTTTCCCCACACAAAAAGGTTAGTAAATCTCTTTTCTTTATTTTTTTCCTTTATTTTTCTTTTCCTTTATTTTAACTTTTTAAAAAAGCCGGTTTACAATAACTAATTGTAAATCAGCTGTGAGTTTAGGCCGACACGTGTAAGTAACTCAATTTTTAACATCAGCTTATGACAATTCCTTTTTCTCTCTCCTTTCTTTTTCGCTCATCCCCTCCCAAATTAAACTGTACCCACTTTCAATAACTCTTTCTCCTGAATTTTTCCTATCTCATCTCCATTGATGCGTACTTCTTTCTTCCATTTCTATTTCTGATTTTTTTTATAATCTTTTTGTTTATATTTTTAATTAGTTTCGTCCTTTGAGAAACACTAAATCTGGGCTAGACTTTGACAAACCTTATTAATTTCTAGTTATGTTGGCTTAGCTTCGATGATTTTGACTATGGAGGCTATCTACAAGTATTTTTTGTGACTCATAGGGTAACTTTTGTCGTCGCTTAGCTCGGTGAGATGGTCAGAAATGGTGGAATCGGCGATGGTTTCAGCGCTACCAACGTCACTAGTAGTGGTTCCGGCGGCGACTTTTAATTTGTTTGAGTGATTTTACTGTTTTTTCATGACTATTGTTAATTTTGTGTTTAATTTTGTTGATTTTGATACTTTGTTTTGCATATGTAGCTTAATTACTTTTGTGGAAAAAAATTCACTTTTGTGAAGAAAAAAAGGGTCACTTTTGTAAAAAAAAACAAAAAAAACTCACTTTTGTAAATAAAAAAAAAGGGTTATTTTTGTGAAACAAAAGGGTCACTTTTGTAAAAGAAAAAGGGTCACTTTTCGCAAAATGTTCGATATACAATAAAAATATTATAAACCCTGGGCTTGCAAAAGTTTTGTTTTTTTTTCTTCATTTTTTTCCTTTTCTTTTTTTTTTCCTTTCTTCTTTTTTCCTCCTCTTACGTGAGAAACTCACGCTGCTACTGCTATGCTTTCCGAGAGCTGTTGCCGGCGCGCCACCCCTGCTGGCTGTCGTTTCCTGGTCGCCGATGACCCACGCAGCCCAGCCACACGACCCAGCCACCACCCTATCTCTTCTCTCTCTCTTGTTTTACTTATTTATTTGTTTGTTTAATGTTTATAAAATTATTATGGATTTGATTTAATTGTTTGAAATTAATTTAATTAGTATGAAAAACTATATTGTGATGATTTTAAGTTATAATTTCAGATTATAATTGTATTATAATTTTTCAGATTTTGTGATTATAAAACCTAGGGTTTTAATTTATTGAAATTGAGATTCTAGGGTTCTTATGATCAAAGAAATATGGGGCTTTTGTGTACTTATTTTTTTAATTTATGATTGAGTATAAAAGTGATGTGGTGATGACGTTTTGAAGGGTTTTTAATTAATCTAAAGTGCTGGAAATAGTTTCTAAGTACTACTTTTGATGTTTTATAAAAAGGATTTAATCACCCATTAAAAAAGGGAGATTATTTAAGGGGTTTTAAATAATTTTTCAGATTTTTAATAAACTTTAAACTTGCTGAAATTTCATGTATAATAATGTATTTTAAGGTATTTTAAAGAAAATTTAAAGAAATATATATAAGCTTTTGATTTTAATTAAAGAGAAGGTTTTAAAGTGTTGTTTGATTTGGATTTTGATCGAAGGTTTTAAAGTAAGCTAGTATTGCTAGCTGTAAATTTGATTGGTTGGGTATTGATTGATATGTTATTGTTTGGTTTAGGAGAGGACTTTATAGAATGTGTTTTTAGTTGAAAAAGCGGTTTACCAATTCGTATATTCAATGTACATACGAGTTACGAAACCTTTCCTTTAAAAGCATGTTTAGAAACGAAACGAGAATTTAGTATCATGTATGGAGAAGACTGGAAATAATTGTTTGGTTATACATTGTGATTTCCGTATGATGTGCACTATTTTACTTTGCAAATATTATTTATGCATTAATTTTGCAAGATGCGCTTAGAGGCAAAGGTATGTGAATATGTGGAATGATTTATTTATTACTCATTTATTGAAATAGAATGAGTAAAGGAAGAATTCAAGTCTTATAAGACGAGGTTAAGGTTTTGGGTGCCTTATGCACTCAAGGTGTTTATACACCGAGGTAGTTAAAGGAATAAATAATAAATGTTACTTGTCACTAATAAATCAAGAATTGAAATTGGAAAATTGTTTTACTTGATTGAATGGATACTGGATTGATTGTATTGTTTGCATATGAGTTATCACCAAGTTTAAACTTTTAAATCACGTAAAGTGCAAGATGGATGAGCAATAAAACTTTGGATTGGTGCACATCTGGAGTAATGACAATCAGGGGTTGGGGTACACGGGGTATTAGCCGTGCACTTTTCTCGAGGTCGTCTGATCTACGAGTCTCTTATTTCAAATATTTTTCAAAACTAGGAGTTAGATGAGATCTCATACTAGCTACGGTCACAGAGTCGCGCCCGAGGTCGTTGGATGTTTTATTGATGTTTCCGAAAGGAGGCATGGGGTTTTTCTTTTATTGATGTTCCAAATGGAGCATGGGATGGACAACCTTGTCTATTGCTTAATCCAATGAAATAAATAAATGAATTAGCTACTATCAACTAGTGAAGTCTTAATAAAATTGATAGTTGAGTCGTGTTTTGAGTCTATAATTTATTGATGCATGATGTTTGATTATTAGTAGCATGTTAGGGATTTCTTAATTTATTTCGCAGCTTGTATGTACTCA